TGGGTTTAATGAATAATGCATATATAATAAAATGGAAGGACGAATAAACTTGAGTATTATTGAGATTTTGAATTAATGTGGTGTATGTCCTCCACTAGCCACTCCTTGTTTTGGTTGTACTTTCTCTTTGTTTTTAGGTGATCGCTCCACATTTCTAACAATGTCTCCAACAAAAGTTTTGCAAATGGTCCCAACAAACCTGGAGCTAGCTTTTGTAACAAAAGAAAAGATTTAGTCAACATGTTATTTCCAATCTACAGGGGTTTAAACTCAAACTAACAAGAAATGTTCATTAATTAGAGGGAAAAGGTTTTATCATTTTATGCAGGATATGTATAGGGTAACCCCATCCGAGTCGAATATAATCTTATGCTCATGAAGTAAGGATTGTGTTAGAATTTCTTATTGACTAATACTTAGTATTTCTTCCTCACCAGTCAGAGGGCATCAGATATTTTGTTGTTTTTATTAATAAAAAAATGAGAAAGAAAGAGAGAGAAAAGTTCCAAGAAAGGAAAGGAAAGGAAAGGATAAACTATTCCAATTGCACGCACACAGTTTTCAAATCTAAAATCAGAGCCATCCTTTTCTTGCTTCCAAGAATCAAACCAAAGGTCGAAAGCCATTAACAAGTTTCAAGCAAGAAAAAAATATATTATTTTCTTTGTTAAATATTACTGGACACTTTTAATCAAATTATAACTTTCAATGAGTAAGTTGATTATATTTAAAATTGTAAACTCATTTTATATTTATCCTTTCTTTAATAAGGTGTTTTAATTGGAAAATCATATTGATTACACTTATAATTAAGAACTTTTTTTTATAGAAAAAAATTATTAATTATATATTAAAAGATTCAAAATACTTTATATTTTTTAAGATGCATGTGCTTTGAAAAAATATAAAGTATTTTGTAATACTAAGCGAAAGGAGCATAAAAGAAGAAAGGAAAACCGAAAGCATCTTCAACTACTTAAAGCCTCTCATGTATTCGATATTATATATGTACGTACACACACACACACACACACACATCCCTGAAGTTGGCTTGTGGAGATGGACTCGACCAGATTCCAATAACCAAATCTCATGGTTAAGCCATAGGAAGATGATATCACGCAACAATATTCTTTTATTGGGTTAAACAATTGAAGTGGCCAAATCTTGCTTTTGGGTTGGACGTATATGAGTCAGAGATCTCAATAATGGGTGGCAAAAGCACCGACCTTGCGTTATCTTGATTCACTTAAAATATTGTTCTATTTCTGAACTTCACTTTAAGTTAGTAAAGGACAATTTGCAAGAGTTTTCGGAATATACTACATGACAGGAAAACCATAAAATATGTTTGCTTTAATTTGTTTATTTATTTTTATTTTGTTTGTGTATTTTGGCTTGTCCTCAGCCTATTGATTCATGACTAGCTAGCTAAGCTAACGTGCTTTCTTTCCTGTGAATTAGATTTTGTTCTTGGAGCAACCACGTAAGCTTTTGCATCGTGCCCTTAAATTCTCCGTCAACATTTATTAAGCTATAAAGTTTTACAAGAATGCATGATTTCAATTTTTTTCTTTGAATTGCTCATAAGTGTAGGTATTGACTTGTTCAGGGTATGATCAGATATTAAATATTGGTGCATCTCCCAACAAGTGTTTGAATATTGATTTGTCACATTTTGAGTGACTAGTCCTCCCGTTAAATCCAACTCCACTAATAATTTTGATTTTTTTAATTATTTACTATGTTTTTTATTAGAGATAATTTTATTGGAGACATGATCAAAAAAATTAAATGTGGGTATCTCTCTTAATGGGACTGTGAGAAAGACCTGTCCTTTCTACTAAATCTAACTCTTATGCATGATTTCAATTTATATATACAAATTTTCTTATAATCCTAATAATATTTTAGGGTTTTTAATATATATAATTTTGTAGTAATTAATTAACGTCTTGATCATAAGATAGCCGTTTCTTGCATTATCCCTACTATATATATATATATATATATGAAATCTTCATGAACTCTCTCTTTCTCGCTTTCTCTCTCAACTTGTTTTCTCTTGATCCGTTCGAGAATAAATGGAAGGTTATGGAGGTTAAATGTGTCACAATATATATTACAGATTTCTAATGAGATTCGATCGGTATACTCGTGTTGGTATAACTGCACCCTTAGCTTTCTCAATTATAAGAGTTTGATTCCTACTTCTATATGTACTTTTATTTTATGTCAATTTTTTTTAAAAATAAATTGATACAAAAAATAAGCAAAATACAAAATTCTTTTGGGGGGGGGGGAAGAAATTAAAGAAGAGAAAAGGGGAAAAGGAAAAAAGAAAAAGAAAAAGAAAAATGAAAAGCTCCTTTAGGACCGTTGCAAGTTTTGGTCCCACATGTTGTCCCTAGCAAATGACAGATTTCATACCAGGAAATAAATTGTGTTCCCCCCCCCCCCCCAATTTTGATTTCTTTTTCCTTTGCATATATAAGTTATGTTGTTTGTAATTAATTAATGGTATTAATAATTATTGAAGCAGAGATCAACCACATGGCTTATTATGAGCTAACCAGGCAAAATAAACGGCTACTTCTTTGAATTAATGTTGAGAACGACTATACATGTACATGTATACATGTCTACACATATATTAGTGGTCGCATGAATGCTCTGTCCATTTTAAAATATAACTAAATTTTAATCAATTCATACAATTTAAAAAATAAAATTGATTAATCTTAATAATTATGCTTGAAATTTTAACCAACCCACACTCACTCATCATGCAAGATACCAAAATACCAAAATACCTTTTTTTTTTTCAATAAGGGGTATTTTCATCTTTAGGTATTTAAAGTTTATATTCTATCATTAAATTAAATATATATATCAAACAAAAATTAGGAAAAATGACAATAAAATCCCACCAAAATATATAAATGACAATTAGGCTCCTCAAAGTGTCAAAATTTTTATGAAATCTTTAGATACTTTTTTGACATTAATAATTTTAGATTAAATGATTAAATTACCCCTTATTTAAAATAAAAATAACAAGCCTGGCTCTATTTTTCTAATAACACCTTTTGTTTAAATAAACTTTTATTTTGTAAATTGTAAAAATTAAACAAAAAATCACAACTACCCACATGAAATTTTTTCTATGATTAATACACAAGTTTTGAAAATAATTAATTCTAATCACAACTTTTGTTTGAGCAATTATAAATTTAATTTTGTGAATCACAAAAATTGAATAAAAAATCATAACTTCTCACATGAAATTTTTTTTAATATTGAAATTCAAATTCTAAAAATAATTAATCATCACTTTTATTATATGAATCATAATAATTAAACAAAAAATTATAACTTTTCACCTGAAATTTCTTTAATCATTGAAGTTCAAATTTTGAAAATAACTAGTTACAACTTTTGTTTAATCAATCACAACTTTTGTTTAATTGATCACAACTTTTATACTGTGAATCGTAAAAATTGAATAAGAAATCAAAACTTTTCATATGAACTCATTATTTTTTATTATTTTAAATAAGGGGTAATTTATTCATTTAATCTAAAATCAGTAATGTCGAAAAATTACTTGAGACTTTAAAGAATTATGATATTTTGAGAGACTTGATTGTCATTTATATATTTCAATAAAATTTTATTGTTATTTTTTCCAAAAAATATTGAAAAAAAAAAGAAAAAAAAACTATCTCAAGATTCCATTAATTTTTTTGACCCATCAGATATATTTTCAAACACTCATGAAAGAAAACTAAATGCATCTAACTGATTTGAAAAAATATATATATATATATATATATCCTTGAAATTAAAGAAAAAAGAACATCATGGTTAATTAATTGTATTAAATGGAGTGATAAGCATATGTCCAATGGACCGTTTTACTAGAGATGTGTTCCTCTTGGATTTCACCAGAGTCACAAGTACAAATTCACATAGACTTTTTGGTGACCTTTAATGATTATGTGAATACAAATCTTGTACCATCCCTTACTAGATTACTACAAGAGACACAAATTCAGAGAACTATTGATAATTGTCATAAATTTCCTACGACAACATTAATTGTACTTTCTTTGCATGTCCTATCTGTCTCTTCAGTTATTATTGCTGCTTCTCATAATTAAAAAGAAAAAGGACACCAGCTAATAATACACTGGCCTTTATTCATCAGGACATCAATTTTTTCAAATTAAAAAGTTTATAACCAGCCAGAAAAACACAAATTCTGAAGTAGCCATTAAATCAAATGCCCTAGCTGCAAGCCACTGATTTGATCATAGCAATGATCAAATAACGAAGTACCTTATAACTTTATTCTAACACACACACACACACACACACTAGGTAGCAATTTTTATATTCCGTCGTCCTGTATCTTAAAAACTTGAGAATGTTACTATCATCTGTCAAAACTAATTTAAATTCTTATCATGTAGGATCGTTATTATTGACAACCACTTTACAGGCATCTTAAGATGCCTTTAACATTCGTATTTATCATGATTACATATTCAAAAACTCAAACTTTAAATTTTTAAATTAGTTGAGCCAGGCGGCCCTTGATATATTAGCTAGTAATTACTAACAGTATTATTATTATAGTAGTACGTAAGCCAAGGTTGCTTGACACTGATAAATTGATTGTCAAAAGCTTCAAACACCTGCATTACAGGTTAGATTTGAGTCACCCTTTCCACTTGGATATGCCCAAGTCATTGTCCAAATTATAATATAACACCAAAATGGTGCATGCATGTTTGTACACTACGAGTTAATTAAATATAATTCTCAATATAAACAAATCATGAAAAGCTAATTAATATTCTCAGTGCAAATTAAATAGTGACCATTTTGATTGATTCCACCGTTGCTTCTTCTTCTTCTTGTTTTTTTTTTTTTGGCCTTTTTTCTTTTTAATTAATTTTCTCTGGCATATTTGGTGGTTCTTGAAGAGGCGAGAATAATTAACGATGTTAGAAGCTAGAGCCTATTGATGGAATGGAGACAGAGATGTGACCCATGTGTACAATACTGAATGGGTAATGAGTGCAATGTGTACTAGTAACTAAGTGAAAATCAGTAGCTTTTGGAAGGGAAAAAAATAAACAAATAAATATGAAAATGTACAAGATTTGAAGTGAGCCGAAGCTATTTAAGCTGAAGCTGAAGTGGGAGCAGCCAGCCATAAGTGGAGGCTCAAACCTGAACCTATAAAGATGGATACAATTCAATTTGGAGCCGAGCTGAGCCATCATGGGGCGGATGGTGCAAGGCTTAGATGCAAGTCCAAGCCCAATGATTCATCGAAATTGGGCCCAGTTTCGACCTTGGAAAACCTACTCAAGGAAGGTCCATCAACCCGTCCGTTGACCCGAGATAGTGCTTGCTGCGACCCGAGGGACGCCAATGCGGATGACGATTCCCCTGCACCGCCACCATAGGGAACCATCCCTACGCCCGCAGATCTTCCACCTGTAATCCCAGTATAATTCACAGAGTTGTTCGACGACGACGGGAACACACAACCGTGAGACACAGACACGTGGAATGGAGACGGCGCGGAACGTGGTGGCATGTAGACCCACGAGGCCGGAGGCGCCGGGACTACCACGGACCCGTTCGGAGCCAGGAGGTGCGGCGGAGGAGCGAAGGCGGAGATTATGGGGTTCCGAACGAACGAAACGGCGGCGTTGCGCGTGGCTTGCAACTGCGCTCGCTTTAGCTGCTGACGCTCCTTCTTGTGCGCGTTCTGGTGCCCACCAAGCGCTTGTGAATTCGCAAACTCTCGGCAACAATACTGACACTCGTATTTCCGGTCACCGGAGGAAGGAAGGAAAGCCGCACCACCACCACCGCCTCCGCAGCCGGAATCCGGCGAGCCAGATGGGGTGGCAGGCTTGCCTGTGGAATCTGATACATCTTCAAGCACTACTTCATCTTCTATATCTTCTTGAACGTTGAAGCCGAAGAGCTTTAACCGCGTGGTGGAATTTGTGGGGTTAATTCTTTTGTTCTGGTAGTGATCAATCGGATCCTCCATAGCTGGGATTTGAATCGAAGTTTGAAACTTGGAATACAGATCGAGGGTCACAGGGGTAGTGAAAGTGTGAGACAGAAAGGAGAGAGAGATTACAAGTATGTGAACACATATATTGCAAGGAGTTGTTGCATGAGCTGTGGGTCTATTTATACTAAGAATTCAGGAGTGATTTTTTGATAAAAACTATACCCAAATAAGTACACAGTGAGGAGAGAGAGGGAGAGAGGGAAAGGGGTAGTTTGCGGACATCCCAAGGAGAAGAGAAAGTGTGTGAAATATGGGAACACGACCCGAGAATGCTCAGGGGACCCAAGGGATTGCGCTTGTCTCTTGTAAGTTCCCTCGTTGAAATTACCAAACTGACCTCACATCTCAATTATTTGACCCAAATGAGACATTATATTTTCTGTAAAATAAGCCACAAATAACAATAACTATACACTAACATCAACTGGGTATTTGTAGTCATTTTGTAATCAAAGTATTGGGACAAAGACTGGATTATTAAGTATGTGGTGCATGTGAGATTGGAGTATGGTAGGGGTTTAACCCATAAAAAATGATTGCCACATTGGATCACGACTATATTATATATATAGTGTGTCTGTGTGTTTATTTATACTCATACATATGACTTTGTCGTTTTTCCCCCTTTTCTGCTTCACATCCCTTACGAACCATATCATAGGGTTTGCTATGGTTAACTGATGAACTTGATCATGGTTTAGCAGCATCAAAGCCATTAAATAAGCAAAACATGCAAAAATTAATGGCACAAAATAAGAAGAATGGACCCATCACTTGGTTTATCTATTCTTACCCAAACCAATCGAAGACAAGTTGATTTTCCAACCAACCAGAGGGAGCGGGGAGAGAGAGGTCTATAGAGAGAGGGTGAGAGTGTGGGTTAAAGCAAAGCAATTAGGTTTGAAAAGTTTGGAGGTATCTGTGTGGGATATTTATCATGCTGGCACTTCATTACTTCCACACTCTTTTGATGAATTTTGAACTTTGCGTAAGATGGCCCTATCAAGAAGCAGCTTATCAGAGAGATGAGTGTTTGAAACAACTAATCACAGCATTTGCTATAAAAAGAAGAATTGGAAGAAGAAGAATATATATGCTCATCTTGTCAGTGATTAATTGACCCACTTCATTTATGACACGTACGTCTTGCCACCATTTTCCTCTAACAATGGTTGAGAAAATTAAACCCTAACAGCAACAAATTATTATTATTATTATTATTTTGAGTACAAGACCATGGAAAAACTATGCAAGGAGACAAATTAAAATCAAATCATATCTAAAACTATAAGGTTGATGCAATTAGGTGGCAAGTTATCCAAAACCTTAATAGTGAAGCTATCTCTGGATGTTTGATGGGCTAGCAAGTTAGCGCAACTATTTGCTTCTCTGTAAACATGATTGAAAATGATTTCATAGCTTTTCATTGTGAGATTTCTAATTATCTTGATATATTTAGAGAGAGGGTGCATATCAGAGTGGTTATAATCGATAAGGGATAAAGCTTTTATGAAATTAGAGTAGACATTGACTTTGGAGAACTTAACATTTCAACAAAACTTAAGACCCTTCGAAATTCTCATAAATTCATCAGTTGTGTTAGGATGATAGCCAATATTTTTAGTGAAACTTTTGATCCAATTACCCTTATCATCCCTCATGATGCCCTTGCAAGTAGTAGCCCCATTGATATTAACAGATTTGTCAATATCAAGCCTAACCCATCAAGGTGCAGGAGGATTTCATTTAGCTTCATGTCTAGTGCCATTTTTACTCAAATGGTTGATTCTAATTTGAAGCCATAAATCGTTAATAATCTATTGAGTGCAAGAGAAGACAATGTCTTTATCTTAATTATTATTATCTAAATAGATCTTGTTGCATCTTGTCTTCTATATATTCCAGCAAGCAAGTGTAAAGAGTCTTTGCCAATTGTTCTTCTCGTGCTCAAGCTACTTGTTTCATTTTTTACATTTTAAACTATCCAATCCTGCACATAGAAATAGAAGAAAATATTAAGTTTGTTATGAGTAACTAATTTTTTTCAAACATTACGAGCATACTCACAATTCTGCAAAATATAAATAAAAAAGTCAAGAGAGTTACAATTAAAAAGGCAAGTATGTTGTTGGGGGTGTATTTTCATCATAATGCGTGTAATTGGTTTGGAGATGATTCTCAATAGTTTTTTTAAAAAAAGTATTTAATTTTTTTAAAAGTGAGCCATTTTGAGATTTAAGGTCATATCCAATACTGATTTTGGTTTTTTTCGAATCTCCATAGCAACAAATTATTTGAAACCCCTGGCCTGTCAAAGCTTTTCCCTTTTTCATCATTTAATTTTCTTCCATCACCTCCTGGGTAGTTTTGTAATCTCACATATAGACTCTTCAGAATTTTTGTTGAGGAACGGAACCCAATAAGCCACCGTGAAGCGTGCAGCCCATGTCTCTGTTTTCTCCACAGGCTGCCTGCCAGCTTCTGCCTCCAACCCACTCCTTCACAGTTGAAGATCACAAAAGTGGAAAATTTTTAGGTATCTTACTAGAAATTTTAACTTTATTTAGACACTTTCTGTGACCGCAAGACGATCAAACTCTCTCAAATCTCAATAACTATAAGTTCTTAATATGGTTCCATTCGAACTCTAGGCTACTGCTTAAGCTGACAATATAGAGATTCCGACGCTCTCACCTTCCACCAGAACAAGACTGATCACTTTCTCTCTTTAGAAAAAGTCAAAGCAGCCCTACATGCAGAGAGATTTATGGAGCTAAGTGGTTTCATGTTATGATATGTGGCGTCAAATATTCTAAACTAAGAGATGATAGAGATGATGATGATGATACCCAGATCTAACACCGTCAGCCCCATGCTGTACACAAATTACTGCATCGTGGCCCACGTGTCAACATCATATTCGCCCTCGGATATCTCCTGTTAGATATGTCTGTTTGACATTATTCCAACCTGTTCTCTCTCTTCTTGTCCCCAAAATATTTCGTCTTAAATCATGATGGTGGCTTTTTCGTCTACAAAGTCAACACAAGAACCTCAGCTTCTGCTTCAATCGTAAACTTTTGATAATGTGTCTAAGCTGATGAAAAATCTTACCATCTGAAAACAAAACAAAACGAGATACCTAGACTCAAATATTAAACCTCACAGTTGGCTTAGCTTGTTTGAAAAGGCCAATCTGATATAATAGATGATGACCTGGAGACATATGTTGAATATATAACGTTCAGGTGAGTTTACAGAACTTAGGGTTTGGGTCCCCACCATTACGTGTTTTTGATGATGAATAATTGTTTAGGATGTTTGCGTGATTGACGTTGAAATCCATATATATATATATATATATATATATCTATTATATATATGGTTTCTTTCTTTGGGAGAGATCTGTGCGAATCTTACTAACTACGAGAGATGTGAGAGCTTTTTGAGGGGTTTGTAGTATCCCACTTCAAAAGCATAATAATTATTAATCAGAATCATAATGGCTAGAAATATTTAACGTATCCATACTTCCCAAGTCTTCATCGCAACTCCTCATGTGACCCACACCTTGTCGCAACTCTTGCCGTTTGCAAATTATATTAGTCAAATTTTCCCACATGTAAGTAATTACTGTCTCTCATCTTATTTTATTTATAAATTATTTTAAATATATTTAAATAAAATTAAGAAAAATTTTAAAACTTTTTAATTTTGTCTAAAAATTTAATACTCCATATGTTAAAAAATATATAAGAAATTTTTAATTAAATTACGCTCCCTAATAAGTTAGTTAATTATTTTTAAACTAACATTATCTTTTCATATTTGCCTTTATTTAATATGGTGTCTTATATGAAGGTAAAAAGTTGAGTGATTAATTTATCAAGGGTATTTTTTTAAAAAAATTACACATTAAAAAAATTAAAAATACCTTATATTTTCAAACATAAATCTAACATCAGAAAAAATATCTTTCATTTTTGAATGAAAACAATAAGTTTATAATTTTAATTCTATTAAATATACATATTTTAATAGTGTATTTTGTCTCACTGACATTTAATGAGAGGTAAAATGAAAAATTTATAATAAAAATTTAATGACATGCATGACTCATGAATAAGACCAAATAAATCATTTTCCTCCTGTCTTATAAATAGGATTGAGTAAACCAAAATATCTTTTTGAATCCCCATGATTGGATCAACTTTGGGGTGAAAGCTCACATTCTTTGTGACCGTTAGATTCGATCATTGATCATCATTATGACATACTAAATAAAATCTCCAATAGTTGCCAATTAATCCATTAAATAGTAATTAGTTAGCAGTACTGTATGCTTGCATGAATTATTATATAACATGGGTAAATGAAAGGTCAAACTAATTAATCATATCATGAAAACCAACACAGTTCAATTAAAGCTTGTTCAGTGGGCTTTCTTGATCTTAAATAATAATCTTCTATTGGCATTAGATATTTGGTAAAAGAGTTGTTCCATAACATAAATTCAAGTATGGCATCCAGTCATAGTTTTAAAAGTAGTTTTTTTTTGTTTTTTTCTTTGCCATAGTTGAACAGTAAATTTGAATGGAGTGATGGATACAATTATAATGGTATTCAAAGAAATTAATCTCAATATACCAATTATAATAAAAATTGGGTTGAGTGAAATAATTCGATTCTACTTGAGTAAAATCATATGTCCATATTTTATGAACTAAATTATGTTGGGAGAGCTTATTCTCAATTAAATCAATATAATACTCCCTTTGTTTCAATTTATAATTTTTTCTTAGTAAAATTACACATAATGAAGTTTATTAAATAAAATTTATAATCTTAATTTTTGTATTAACTTTCAAAAATACCTTTCATTAATAAGAGAGAGAGGGATGGAAATAACTTTATTTTTTTTCAAAATGCCTTATTTTGAAATGCCAAACTATCTTAAAAAATATCTTATATTTGGATAAAAAATATAAGAAGGAGTCCTAATTAAAGATTATATCTTATTAATTTAGGTTCTTTTTTATGAAACGTTTTAAAAATAGAAATATATATACAAAATCTCTGATCTACTAAGCTAAATCCATGTATTTCAAATTGTTCTGTGAAGAATGATCATTCTTAAATGAAATTCAACAACATCCATAATATAATAATTATTATAAAACAATTTGTGATCGAT